TATATATATATATATATATATATATATATATATATAACCACTTCAACTACATAAAGATATGCATCATAGCCTACCTATGTTTGGCATAAGCAGGATTTGTAATACTAACGAAAAACATCACTACAACGATCCTTGACAATGGATACCCTGAACCCTTGATAAAGAATACAAACACCAAGAAAAATATCACTACATCCATCCTAGACAATGGATACCATGAACTCTTAAAAAGGTACACAAGCACCAAGAAAAACATCACTACATCCATCCTTGACAATGGATACCCTTAACATTTGATAAAGAATACAAATATTAAGAATAAATAATAAAATTACTGACATATAACCTTATGTCAGAAGTCTCTTTGAAAACATACAGAGGATATATACACAACATAAAGTTAGAATAATATTCAGAAGCCACAACATAATACAATCAGTAAATACTAATCCATTTAAAGTCCCAACAGAGGGGGAAAGCATCATTTGTAGCATACCATGTGGACTCCAGTAAATTAGAGAAACACAAAGACCAATAAAAGTTCAAGTTGAGGAGCATGTTAAACACATACCAATCTATCTTCCTACAACTAATCATGCCAAAGAAGATGAACACAAGATAAACTGGAATAATAATAAAATAATAGGATATGAGCACAACAAGAAAATTAATGATAAACGATTTCTCCAACCACCCAACTGATAATAAACATTCAAGTAAAAAAAACCTGGATACCCCTCTTGAAATATTCAAATAGTTACTTGATCCAAGTTGTAATGGGGGAGACTAAAGTTGAGTGAATAACACTCCAGACGTTTATTCAAGAAGGCCACAACTGAATCCTGGCCAAAAACAATATAGAAATAGATCATCCTGAAAATGGCAGCAGATTAACAGCTGAAACATAGGATGAAAACTAGTTGGTAATTAGAATCTAGTTATGTATAGAGTTTAGTTAATGTTTTAATAATTAGATGTAAGCTACTAATCATGAGAAGAACTAAAATTCTGTATTTAATATAACAGCATGTAATCATTCATTATACAGACAAATGATTGACGTTGTTAAATTGAAATTCTCACACCTACATCTTCTTCTTCTGCAGCACACTCATCCTCATTCTGTTCATCATCATTATTATCATTTCTGTCATCATCATTATCACGAAAATCATCTTCTTCCTCTTCATCACTAGTGTCACATGCTCCATCTACTTGAGGTATTCTACCAGTCTGTTGAAGACAAAATGAATATTAAATGTTTTGACTGGTTAAGAACTATTCCAGTTTAATGATTATCTCCCTGCTATTTTAACAAAAAATAATATTTAAAAATATCTTACCAAACTCTATAGTTTTAGAGACAAATATCAGCAGAAATAAGATATGTGGTCTTCAACACATTCAGACATAAAGAGAACTTTACCTGTAAAACATCCAAGTCGGTTGTCTTGAACACATTCAGACATAAAGAGAACTTTACCTGTAAAACATCCAAGTCGGTTGTCTTC